GAGATTTAAACCGAATTCGTACATAATGATGAACTTTTTAAGATATGACTGTTTTAAAATATGACCAGATTCAACACATATTATAAATCATTAAAGTTTAAAAATATTTGTTGTTATAAAATAATCATAATAGCAAAAGTAATGCTATTGATTACTCATCTTATTCAAAAGGGTAAATTGCATGAAAAAGTAACGTACTTTAACTTGACTTCTAATCTGGATAACGTATTTTTAAAACTTTCATTTTGGTACCTAAGATATAAGTTTTAAACATTTAAGTATATGAGTGACTGGTTGAAACATTAATCGGTTACCATGCTGAGGTTGCGAGTTATGTGGTATTCAACTCAGTATTATTTGCTCCTCAACACAATTTCATCCATCACTCGCCACATCATCATGGTAACCGGTTAATGCTTCAACCGATTACCCGGGTACTTAAATGTTTAAAACGTTACATCTTAGACACCAAAATAGAAGTTTTAAAAATATGTTACTCATAATAGGAATCAAGTTAAAGTACGTTACCCAAAAATATATGTGTATATAGTATCTGGAAGTAGTGTCATTACATATAATGTTGATTTAAACTTATTTAACAGTATTTTCAATTTGACAACAGGTAAACTTTTATGGCAAAATCGATGATGTGCAAATGCATGTCTGTATGGTGTAAATGTGTGCAAGCATTTTTTTTTTGTTGTTGTCGGAACTTAGAGTTTGTAAAATCGAGCTATTGGCTCACCAAAAACGTATTAGAGTTGAATTGATGAACTTAAACTCTATCAATGAGTCGGTATTAAAGTTGAAATCTTAGTCATTGAAAAATCGAGCTAATGAACTAAAATGAAGTCAAAACCGTTTAACAGAGACGTTGACTGGAAGGCAGCTATTCACAAATGGTAGGTGACAAAACAGATTAATGATGATGTGATTGTTGATGAATGATTTCCTTGATCTTAACCTCAATTGATGAATTGGCATTCAAGATTTTAGGACGCAAATATTTGTGGTGAGGGCGAACAGTTTAATATAAGAACTTGCACGTGATGGGAGTTGGGTTTGTGGACCGCCGACGACTGAAGGCAATAATTGAACATTGAAATAGTAGGCATTTTTAATGTATTAAATTAATAGTATGAGGTTTAAATCAGAAAGCTAAATATCGTTGAAATAATATCAAGGGGCTGTTTGTTTAGCTATGAATGGTTCCATTCAGAGCTAATCTCTTAATCGGTAAGAGGTTTTTAGTGTTTGGCAAAAATTTTGTATCCTCTTAATGGTGACAAGAACCTCTTAATCATTTTGTGTCTAGGGTGTTACTAAATGATTTAGATCCATGTTTATTCCACATATCCCCTTCACGCCTTAAACATCAGCTACATATGAATAGTTTGTAACGTTCGTTCACATATGCATCCTCAATTATTACCTTTTTTCCATGATTCACACATGAATTTTCAGTTTTTATCTTCTCATAATATTTAACCCGACATTAAGCAAATTATCTCTTATCTCAAGTACCTATTTTAAAAACTAATGCAAAATTTAGGACATCGATCAGTTGCGAACCGAGGAGACTAGAGTTTGGAAGAGACTGTGGAAGTTAAAAGTTCCCCCATAAGTGAATTCTTTCCGCTTGGAAGACTGCCCAACGAGGGTCGAATTGAGAATAAGACGCGTTGATGTCCCATTACATTGCCCAGAATATAAGGAAGAGGCTGGAATCAAAGGCATACCCATACGAATACAATAGCGGGGGAATCTAATAATAATTTAGCCCAATTGACAACGACTCAAGATTCATAAAGTACCCCAAGGAGAAGCTTTATGACAAAAGAGGATGGCGTGAAACAGTAGAGTAGACCCAATCATGGTACCATTAAGATCAACATCTACATAGATGCAACACTCTTTGCCAACCACGGTAGATTCTCATTTTGTTGTGCGGCCAATAACCATGAAGGTGAAGCAGTTGGGATGTGAAGGAAGAGTCAGAGAGGAACAATAAAGCAGGTAACAACGGAGGGTTGGGCATGAAAGAAGCATTGAGTTGGATTATTACTAATCGCTGGAATAAGGTGATCGTCGAGACGAATTGTCTGGTAAATGTCCAAGCCATTTGAAGATTATTGAAGATTACAAGGACATGCTGCAGCGCGTCAAAAACACTTATGTTCTTAAATAAGTGACGCGGGAGTCGTGTTTCTTCTTAAAAATCGTGGGGAGGGGGAAGGAGTTTTGCTTCGTTTTTGGATGTTGATGCTCGTAATTAATTATTTGCTCGTTTTTGTTCTTTGATAAAAAATCTTTGATTTACTTAAAAAACTAATTAAGAAATTAAATAAATACAATTTTATTAAAAAATAATAGTACCAAACACTTTAATCAAGTTATCACATCACATTGTTGATTCCATTAATAATCCTTAATTAATAATTCTTCTCTGAATATTTATAAAAATAACAACTTTTTAAAAAAATGGTATATTTTCCTTCCAAATAATTATATTTAAATAAAATTTGACCCGCAAGATGCTGAGCATATAAAATGCAATTAAATTAATATAAATGTATTTAAATAAAATAAAATAAAATAATTATGATTTGCACATGTTAATAGAATTTAATCTGCCCAAAACCAGATTGATCTTCCAAAGATGGCTCAAATAATAAAATAATATAGGGTATCAAGTTTATACGAAAACAGTAATTAAATAAGAAAATCGTTGAATCACATGTAATTTTACATTAAAATCACATGACTAATGTGAATTTGGCCGCTACCTAGGGTTGTGGGCCACATCGCTTGCACATTCTTACATTGACTGTTAGTGTAAAGTCATATGGTTTTGTACGTAATTCGACTGTTTTTAATTTGATTATTATTTTCGTTGGAAACCTTATCTCTCTCTCTCTCTCTCTCTATCTCTCTCTCTCTCTCTCTCTCTCTCTCTCTATATATATATATATAGTTTGCTTTAACATATAACGTAATTAAAGGGTCATTACCAACATAAATTAGGTAAGAGGTTCGATCTGAAAACAAACAGCGACTAGATATAGTTGTTTACTAGATATTTTTCTAGTAAATGTTCACCAATAAAAACAATTTGGATAAAAACCGTCTGACTCGGTCGCACCGTTTAGTAAAAAATATAGGTTAAAACATCATTTTTTATCGGGTAAGAGACTTTTATCCAACAAGAGAAAGTCAACACTATGGGACCCTTCACCACCACAAATTAAGTAAAAAACAAGTGGGGTCATAGTGTTATCTTGATTTGTCGAGTGATGTGATATCAACTCAGTATTATTTGCTGAAACATTAACCAGATATCTATTTTTTTATGTATATTTATTTTTACTTTGCAAGCTAAAAATCATTTACGTGTTACTTGTATTATATTTACGTGTATTATATTATTAATTAGATTTATATTAATAAAACACAATTATATATATATTTAACAAAAACATGTATCTAACATAATTATATTTAATTGCATCAACTTAAAATTAACTAATAAATCAACAAACAAGTTAAAAAAAATTGCATAATAACCACCAAATAAGCAGATACATAACCGAGATACACATTCTAGTAATCTAATAATCTGGTAAATTGGTTCAAATCCTCCAAGATCACCGAAATTGTCCAAACAAAGTAGCTGTAGGCGGCATTTCTTGACGTTGTTGACCCCTCCTTTGCAAAATCCGTGCTTATTCAGCTTGAGCAAATGCTCGTATGTTTGGATCGTGTATGGAGTTCACGTCTCGAAACAACATTTTATTTTCCTCTTTAATTTCTTGGATCTCCAGCATTAGCATCTGTGCGGAGCTCTTTTTCAACTGCTGTAAAATTTGTTCATTTTCTTGTTAACGGTGCAAATCATAACCAATGGGGGTATCATTTATAAAGTGTATTTTTGAACGTGCTTATAGTCGAAGAGAAAAAAAAGAATATATCTAGAATATTCTAAAATGGTGTTACCCACTGTAGAAAAACCACTGTTCGCACCTTTTTTAATTATAAAAACTAAAAAAATATTAATTACAAATATAATTTGCTGAGGAATAAATTGAAATTAAATTAAAAAAAATATTTTTTAAAATATAGAAATATAATGAAAAAGATGAGCAGTACATAATTTGTACATTCAGTTGTTGCCATCAAAGGGCTTGAAAACTGTACTGATGTGGAAGGATGGATGGGCCAAGTGAAGGGAAATATGCTCTTTGTCCAACTGCATTACCATCTTGTATTGTACATCATGCATATAAAATTGTACATTTCAATATCTCTCTTTTCTATTTTCTTGAAAATTTATTATTCTTTTTTATTTCATTTTAATTGAAAAAGACAAAAAACTACTAGTGTTGTTAAAGACCATTATGCCCCTGTCCACAAAACTAGTTATTCCTTTCGCTAAGTATTCGCGACAGATTATGATGTTAAAACCGTCACAAAATGGAATAAATGACAGAAATAAGTCGTTTTTGTTGTATGTTTTCTTTCCACAAACCATGTAAAAACGTTCAAAAAAGGATCGCGTGTTTTTATGGGAAAAATCTAAAAAAACTCAATACCTTTAGTTTAGTCGAGGTGTCTGTAAGCTGATTCGGACACCTACGGTTAACAGGAAAAAAGACTAGTTTTATTTATGTCATATTTTGGTAACGTTTCTAAGCGCTATCGTGACGGAATCTGTCGTCGTAGTCATTTTTGTTATAATTACTGAATAATTTCGGTTACAAAACATTAAAAAAAAAAAAAAAGAGAGAAGTAAATTACAAAAATAGCCTCATCATCCTAAGTATACAAAATGCCCAAATCATACATATTTCTAAATCCATTTTGGGGGGCTTTATGGTGAGGGCTCCTCTTCTATTCTACCTCTTTTAGTTCTTGTTTTTTTTTTACATATTTTTACACCCCACAATTAAATATTAATTTCCCTAACAATTTTTTGTTAAAAAAAAGGAAAATTAAAAAGAAAATTAGAAGGTTGAAATGCATCTTCTATGTGTTGGAACCTTCTGTTTCTTCTGATTCAGCTCCTCTTTCCATACTTTCCCAATATCTTGAGAAATTTTCATGGCGTCAGCAGATGCACCTGCAAGTCCTCGTCTTGTAAACCCTGCTGCATATAATCCACACTTTCCTTTCCACCCATTTGGAAATGGGGTTTTCGGGAATCCATTTTTGGCAAAGAATTCTGTTTCCTGTTCATCAAGAAGATCAAATTTCAATTAGTCAAACCGAAAAAAGATTCAATTTTGACTTTCCCCCAAAAAACAGAGCAGAAATGGAATCTTTTTTGCTCACCTGAAGCCAGTAAGGAACATTGCTGCAATACCCAGTTGCTAAAACCACTGAATCGATGTTAAGGGTGTCGCCGTTGACGAGCTCGACGGAATTGGAATTGAATCTTTTGATTCCGGGGACGACGGTAATGTCGCCGGATCGGATTCTTTCGAGTGCTCCGATATCGAGAACTGGAGTCTTTCCATGGTGGTTTTTGAGTTGTAATGGACCTAAAGATGGTCTTTTTATGCCTAGTTTTTGTGTGCTTCCTAGGATGAACCATGCCAAGATTAATAGAAGCTTGTCAACCAGCCATAACGGTAGCCATTTCATTAGCATCATGGCGAGGTCGAATGTCGATTTTCCGAAAATTTCTCGTGGTAAAACATGGACCTGTAAGGAATATGAATGAATTAGATGGTTGGTTTTAATGGGTAATGAAAAAATTTGATCTTTTTGAATGATCATTTTCAAGATTACGTACCGAGCTTCGAACAACCATGGCTGGTTTAGCATTATGGTTGGAGAGATCAAGAGAGACTTCCATGCCGGAATTTCCACATCCGACGACCAACACTTTCTTTCCTTTGTGTTTCTCGCCGGACTTGTAGTGTTTTGCATGGATGACTTCACCGGAAAACTCTTTTAATCCTTCGATTTCCGGTACTACCCCTTCAGCATTTTCTCCGGTCGCCACCACAAGCATCTGGCAGATATACTCTGTTTCCAACCGGACCAACCCAGTGGTTGAAACGGTTATAACCCGCCAAAGATGGCAGGCTTCGTCGTACTTAGCCGACTGCACGCACTCGTTGAATTGCGGTTTGATGTCGAATTTCTGAGCGTAATTCTCGAGATACGAAATGAATTGTTTCTTGGTTGGGTATTCGGGGTATTCCTCGGGGAAGGGCTGTTTGGGAAGTTGGCAGAATTTTTTCGGGAGGTGAAGTTTTAAGCGATCGTAGGTGTGTTTTTGCCACAGGGAAGCAATGCAGTCGGATCTTTCAATGACCACAAAGGGAATGCCTTGTTCCTTAAGGCAAGCCGAGACGGCTAGCCCTGAGGGTCCGGCCCCAACTATGACCGGACCATTGACCCACACACATCGACGCCCACCGAAGTCAGTCTGACCCGAGAAACTAAACATTTTCGAATGTTTAATGGTATGGTTTTTGAAGGGGTTTTTGGAGTGATGAAAAGGAGTAGTTTTTGTATGTTGTGAAAGTGAAGATGAGATGGGATGATGAGATGGTGGTTGTTAAGGGGAAGATGTATGTATATATAGAGGGGGGGCCAAGGGTGGCATATGGGGGGTGGTGGGGTGCATGGGTATTGGGTAAGGGTCAATTAATGCATAATTTGGAGGGTCATTTTCAAATCATAAGCCCAATTTTTATTTTATTTTATGGAGTTCTATCATTATAATAAATTATATAATCATTATATATATTAAAATATACGTCTATCATATGATCATATATCATAGTGGTATTAAATTAATTGGCTCATTTTTAGATTTATATATATATATATATATATATACTAGAAGCGTACTCGCGCAATGCAGCGAGATACATCGTGTTTTTAATATTTCATTTTATTCTTTATCTCAGTCAATGTTATAATATGGTTTTATGTGATTTTGAGAAAGCGATGATGTTTTTATTTTTGAATAAAATATATGTTTGAC